CGCGATGTGAGGACACTTTTCTAAGATTTAATTCAAAATCCATTACTTTTCCACAATTCTTGAGATTTATACGTGGACTCGATTGTCACTGACTTGTAGTTTTTTTTTTAAAAAAAAAAAAGAGGAATTCATCACCTTTCTATAGATATGGGGTCGAAAACGTGATCTGGCCTGAAGCCATTCTTTGGAGATTTTATAAAGAATCCACAATTTTTCAACAACTCCAGAAATCCTTTGTGTGACACCTCGACACCTATGCAACTTGTGTCTCAAAAATTCAAGGAACTTAATTTATACAGACAAAGCATCCAGTTGAAAAATCTGATCTGAAGACACTTTCTGAGAAGCTAATAAAAAATTTTTTTTCCACACTTGAGATTTTGACGCGGATTTCAATTAAGGTGAAGTGGGGTAAGTGCCCACTGGTTTTTATAAAGTTGGTATTTAAACGTAAGTACTTTCAATCTGCTATGTAAATATTTAACGCTATCGATATCGAACGCTTTGCACAATTACTACTATTTAATTAATATTAACTAGGACCTTAATTTTCCTTGTACATTTTGATTTTGATAGAAAATTGTTTAAAATGTCAACTACTCTGCACTTTTCCCGAAAATGGGGTAAGAGCGTAACTTGAAGTTAAATACTTTGAAACTTTATTTCATGTGCAATGGGAAAAGAGCAGAATTATTAACAAATCTGCTATAAAATGCTTTTTACTGCATTATGCAAGTACTCTATACTGCAAACAAGTATTCTTAGCTGAAATATAAAAAGGGATACAGTGAAACAAAACAAGGAAACAAACATGCTAAATGGAGAAATTTCACTCATATTGTAATAAAAATAGCCTGTATACGCACTTGCCCCGTTTACGAACGTTCCCCACTTCACTTTATTAATATGTGACGTTTTTTCGAAGCTTCATTGGAATTTTTTATATTATATGTTTGCAACGTGAATATCTAGGATATAGTATGATGTATGGCGTGATTGATGTCGACTGAATGTTCTTTGTCTCTCGATTTCTTTCTGTTTGTTATTTGGCAGCGGTCCAGCGGAGGATTCAGCAAAGAAAGCAGTCGTATAACGAGACGTTTCCAGAATCGGTGCAGTGATCTTATTGCGACGAAACATCCTGGATTTTATTCCGGATCTCATCACCACGTGGGCCACATTCCTCGCCTTTGAGTCTCTTAATAGCTTGTGTATCAGCCTTAAAACGCGGAAGCGTCAAAGCTATATTTGATCGAAAAATGATTGTATGAAAGTAAAGATAATACGTTTCTTACTGCAATCTTTCTTTAACGGTATAAAAAGCTAGTAATATACCAGCAGGATCGTATTTAACTCTGGATTGTAAATTGTAGTTTTAACAATTTCTTAATGATACAGCTGGTTGCCATCAAAGTACTGATAGATTGAATATTAACCTTAATCCTCTCGTATTTAATGATTCTTTTTATTAATACTATTGGAGATAATTAGTGACATCATCCGATATGGGAGAAGTAAGATTGCTGATAAATGAGTAATTTGGTTTTTCTACTGTAATGATCGAATGCTTTTCTGAAGAATACGGTGAAGTAGTTTCTTGTCATTTGCTATAATACATACGAGGTAGAACGTATGACTAGTTTATGTGAGTAGTAATGATATTTTCGTGTATTGATCGTCATAGAAAAATTTATAGTGATACTGCACACTGTTAAGTATACTAGAAATGATTCTTATAAGTTATTCATAAAAATCATAAGCTTCCATATTTTTTAATTTCGAAATTTCATGATTATAAATTTCAAATTTTCCAAATAATCAAAATTTTCCATTCTTAATATTCCAAATATCTAAATTCCCAATTTCCCAAATCTGAAACCTCAGAAACCTGGAAAAAGCTCATTGTTGCATTCGTACCCCAATACCCAAATGTTCTAACCGATCACCTTCCACCCAATCACGATATTGCGCGCAACTGTCGATAAACAAACGTTACAACTCACAACGACCTATTTATTATACTTGTCGTACACAACAGCAAACACGTTAAATCGATGGTCATCGCGGTAATCAACGTGAAAGGAACCCAACTCTTTTGTTAAATTCGTTTGTACTGTTGTACGGAATTTTTAAATAATGTAGCAAATGCTAACTTTGCCTTTCTACGAGTGATTTATTTTATTTGATGTGTTGCTCTGAGATGTTACAAAAATTCTGACTAAAAACTGTCGTGCTGGTCTTTTTATCAATTTTCGGATGTGGGCGCGTGTGCGGAGGTAAGAACTAAAACTAAGGTGGGAAAAATCCTTGTCCAATCGTCTGTTTTTGGTAATGTCGGGGGTTGTTCTTCCCTTTCCTCGGGGTACATGTTTTGGAAAAACCCAAGTTGGCGTGCAGGTAGTGAGAATATTTTGCCTATGGTTTATGATGTGTCTTATTGCCGAAGATTATGAGAGTGAAGTGACTAAAGAGGACCGTAATTTAGGTTTTTTCCTTGACAGTAAAGGTGAATATAAAATTAGAAATTGGGAAAAAGACCCTTCCTGTTTATAACATAACGGCGCTCTTAACACCTTTGATATCCAAGGTAAATCGAGGAATCAGTCCGGTTGTTCAGCGTGAAGGAATAATGAAGCGAGTAGAGCACGTGTGTCAGCTGGGATTTCTTATTTAGAAAGCTTCCCAAACGACGCAATTATGGGAGCTCCTTTGAGCTTCCTCCACCGTGAAATTTATTTCCGTCGCAGTTCTGTTGAAGCTGACGAACACCCGGCTATGGAAATCACCTACAATTTTTGGTCCTATTTCTATGACTCATCTTCCAAATAGCGGGTGTAGTACCGAAGTTACCCGGTGGACAATCTACATGTTTGAATGCGTGAAAGGGAGAGATCTCAAATATCTGTATAAGTCTATCAGTTTCGCACATATTCATTGAAAACATCTGACATAATATATACACATATAAAAGAATTGGCGCGTAATCGACTTAAAGTAAAAGAAGTTACGTCCAACCGTGAACACTTCCAGTGTTATATTTCGGAAAACAGGAATAATAATGAAAATAACAACTGCTGAATTTGCATTAACTTACTCTAGACAGCGGAAAAAGTAAAAAATGGAATTAATGGTACAATGGTACCATTTCACACTTAAAAGACACACGTATCGTACTCAACCAAGGTTCATCCAAAGTACAGGAAGCTACACCGACTATACACACCGTAAACACTTCCATTTCGCAGGTACGAATAATAATGACAATAACAACTGCATCACTCGATTCGCATTATCTTACTCACTCTTGAGACGTTTGTCGATTGTCATTGTTTTTCGCCTAATTGGTGCGTGACTGCTCGCGCCATTTGTTTATACCGTCGAAACTACGCGCGAGTCTAGACGTCCATTTTGCAATTCTGACGAATCGGAGCCGTAACTGTTCTAAACACCTGGGTCAGCCTCTTCACACGCCAACTCGTGGGTTGACAACGGTATGTAGAGCTATAACATTTTGACTCGGTTTCGTTAACTGGGCTGTTCTCCGTCCACAGACCCCTCGTTACTTTCGACACTTTTAACAACTTCTGGTGCTTTTGGCTCATTTTAAGAAAGTTTAATTCTCTGACAAAAAGTCGTATCACGGTTTGGTCTGTACGTTTTTATACGTGAGTGAGTGGCTGGAATGGAGTTCTACAGTATTTGGGTACCTACCTACTTCAAATTATAGCTAATTTTGCTATTAAATTTTGATTAAATTAAAGATTCAAAGTAAGCAGAGATATTAACAAAATTGCTCTCAATTTTAATTATTGGACTCGTCGTACTAAGACATTACGTATCATTCACCATCATTTATAAAATTTTTGTTAGCTGTGCTATCATTTCTACAGAATTACTCGTGCACCTTTTACTCTACTTGTTGCTCGGTGACACGTTCGAAGCACAAAGAGTTAACAAGAATCGGTACCTGGAGAATAGAAAAGCTTGTACATACAAAGTCGGTAACCGTGGTAGGATGTTCTCATGTTGTGTTTGAGCACAACGCAAAATATGTATAATATTACCATTGAAAGTTTATTTGACAGTCACAGAGTAAGGCGTACAAACTGTTTAATCTACCAAAGATATCTTAGTCTATGCCAAGATTCTTTGTTTCCTCTGTTTTCTAAAATTATTCTAACTAAAGAAAGAAGAGACGTTAGTTTTGAATTTAGTATAAACTAGATATTTTTTGGACCAGAATCCTTAATTTTACCACACCACGAGAGGGTTAATGCAGTCAGTAAAAATTCTCAATGGGTCATCCTGTAGGACTGTCGTTTCCTACTATGTCATCGGTTGTTCGTCACTAAACAGTAGTCTACGAGCTGACAGTATTTACGTCCGTACAGGAAGAATTATAATATAGCGACTAATATTGTTCATTATATTAAAAATACTGAATATCTCCTAAACTAGGTTGACGCAGCTACCGCTGGATACTTGCATCCTCTCTCCGTACTCCAATGGTGTGTTCCACCTTTCAATACTAAATCCTGAACCTATTTATATAAAGTTGAAAGAGAATTTTGGATGAAATCGAATCAGGATCTTACCTAGCAGCTTTAGCGACACCTGCAAGAACTTTGCTTCTACTAAGATTCCCAATCAGCCACAGGGTCACTGGCAACACAAGGATAATAAGCAAGTAAACGGAACCACGGGTCTCCATGTTTCTTCGCGGGCTGATGTCCGGCCTTGGGAGTTATTCTTGTCAAGGTCATCGGACCTGCCCCAGCTAAAGGCGTGCTCTGTCCCTTTTCAGACCTGTTCTAGGGTTCGGATGTTCGAAAAGGTAAGTTCTGCTTGTTTGTTCAGTCCTGGGATCGTAAAGTTTCTTCGGAGACAGAAGTCCCGTCACTTCTTCTAGTATGGAGGTAAAACACTGTTTCACTTTTAGTAGTTCTAACACTTGTTACTTTTGGTGTCTCGCCGTGAAGCATGTGTATTTATTGTATTCTTTTAAATTAGATATGATCAAATGACTAAGATCTTCAGTTATAACTAAATTTTCTAAAGATTAGATCTTGTAGATTAGCCGTGACAAATAATTCAATCTTCTACGTAGTTATGATCAAGTGAATAATCTTTCAAACTAGGTATGATGAAGTGAATGATTAGATCTTGTAAATCTGTTACGACCAAATGAGTGAACAGTATTTGCAAATTAGTTTGGATCAATACGTAATAACATCCGAAGCATCACTATTCAAATACAACACAGAAGTATAGTTCTCTAAATTAATAATTCAGAACGAGTATAAATTCATTTCAGGAGCTGTCACGTAGAATTGTGAATCTATTTAATCCTGAGATAAAATTCTTTTGCAATTTTTCCATAACCAACACCCTGTTTTTGCTTTTAATTTGTCAGTGTGTAATCAGTAGATCTTGCAAATTAGTTATGACTAAATGACTAATACCTTGTAAATTAGTCTGTGACAATTGTTCCAGGATTCAAACGCTTAAGAATGGGTTATTTATCTGGTTTTGAAATTTTAAAATCCTTTCAAACACGTAATTTTTATGGTTAGCACTGACTGTACTCGATATTTGCACTTAGATAATACATCTGAATCATTATTTAAATAAAACACAGCGTTCACTGGATTATTAGACTCTAGATACTTAGAAATGTGAATCTAGATCTACTTGATACCGAAATAGAATTCGTATCATTTTCTGTAATTCTTCTTAATTGAATAGAGCATAAAAATATGATTCACTGACTATTTGTTCTAGATCTCAGATACTTAGATAAGCTGTCCACTTAATCTTAACACCTCAAAATCTTTCCAAAAACAGAATTATCGGAAATTGGTTCTACTTGAAACCTGTCCTTGAATCATCTGTATGAATCATAGAAACCAGTATGAAAATGAATTTCACTGAATTGTCTCATTAATTCCAGGATGCAAATAAGTCCAGGTTCAGTTCTAACATATCCACACTTCTTCGAAAACAGTATTTTTATTAAAACTGCTCGTTGTATCACATATGTGCATTCGAACGGTGAATCATCTGAACCAGTATGAAAACAAATTTCATTAAATTATCTTGTTTCGAGATCGAGTTCACATTCTATATTTAGCTCTAGCATTTCAAACTTTCTATAATAAGGAGAGTGATTTTAAAATTACTCGTTATATTGCATATGTATGTAGTGTAGAATCAAGCTGGTACCAAAATAAATTTCAGGTAATTTGTTTCAGTGTAGAATAAACTATTCAGTCTACTTTCAGTATTTACTAATATTCGTTTAAAAGCAGAATTTTTATTAAAACTATGTGTTGTATATACGTATGTACGTGGACAGAGTTTCTGAATCATCCAGTATGAAAATAATGGTCTGAATAGTCCAATCTGTTCCAGATAAGTACAAGTTCCATCTAAAACCTCTAGAATAAAAATTCTTGTAGGAAACACTTGTGACGTTCAATATTTTCACCTGGATGGTTGAATCATCGCATCACCGAATCACTATGCAAATTTAATAAGACACAGAGTTAGACACTGGAATACAAATACCACAGAATATAAAAGGTCCTTTCAATTCACTAAATCCTTATATTAAAGAAAAGTATACTAGCTGTGTAAAAACACTTGGAAGCTACCATCTCATACGTATACCAAATCACATTAAGTCTGTCTTCATGAAGAGGATAAGTTTGCACGTGGGATCAGTACACGATGAGACTTGCCAGTACACACTATGAGATTATTAGCATACACCATGAGTCTATCAGTGTCAGAATCATTTACGCATCTAAATATTTACATATGTAATCGACTAACACAGTAAAAATCACTAGCAGTATAGCATAACAGTTAACAGCAGAACTACACATCAACTTCATCAATTTCTTGCACAATCTAAAAGTTCCTCCAACACCTTCGTTGGAAGTCGAAATGTTTTTCACCGAATTAAAACTTTGAATACACGTGGAGGGTGCGAAAGTTCCTTGAACCCCAAAATATCCCAGTGGCAGACAAGCCAGAGGCAGCCTGGTGGAAACGGCCCAAACATCCGCCTTAGCCAAAATTTCGATGAACGAGTTTTTCTTAGCACGGCCACGTTGCGTCTGTTGGCCGACGAGATCGTAGGATCTGGCAAAGTCCGTGTAGTATGCGTAGGACAGAAGAGTAGGATGGTGGGGCGATGACAAACGACCGAGTCCGGCCATATTTAGCTCGGAGACGTGTCCGGCTTCTTTTTCGCGGGAACCAGTCCCATCGGCGGGACCGGAAACGCGGGAAAGGAGGATGACCCGTCGGAAGAAAGTGGATCTTGACCTGGGCGAAGTTTTATAGGCCCGCTGGTACCCCGAACCGACTGGGCCGACCATATTTGTGACCCATTATGCTTCAACCTTTCGAGAAGTCAGATTTCTACGATCTGAACCTTCGTAGAAGTCTATTTGCGGATTTGTAGAAACTGGCCACAAAGGAAAAACTAGTTTCTATCGAAATTTCAGGCTTAGGCTGTGTTCATTGGCAACGTAAACATATTCCTGAGAAATGCGGTTCTTGTCTTCTCCTTTTGCAGACGATGGAAACATCTTCATGACTCGGACAATCACGATAATGGTAATAATAGTGACGTGTTTATATCGTGATTTGCGGTGCAGAATTTATCGGGACAGTGTTGAAATAAACACTTCTGTTAGGAATTACAATTCATTTGGAAACAGTTGCTGTGCTGAGACAGTGGTTCTCAAACAGTGGCATATGTGTGAAGTAGTATACAAATAATTTTTTGAATAAATAGCATAATTTTAATATTCAACATTTTATTATCAATATTCAAGAACAAATACAGAATACAACTTGATATGAAACCCTTACGTTAAAAATTAAGTAAGACTGACACAAATGTACCAGAAACATATGTTTAAGTGTTTATAAGGAAATATAAATATCGCATTAAATTAAATCACTTAATTTATGTTGATAATTTATAAAATATATAGCAGAATTTTACATTTCGGAATTTTACATTCAGTATACAAAAATATATATAAAGTAAAGCTTGACGTTTTGAAATTTGTTTTAAAACAAGCTTCACTAGATATAAAAACTTTCAATAATCAGGTTAAAATGTTACATATGTATATAAAGTAAGTGTATATAACGAAATACAAATGCAATCAGTTTAAACTGAATCATTTTATCTATGTGCATGATTTATTAATTTAATAAAGTTCATTTTCAATTTATTTTCAGGAAGTGCTGGTTTTGGTGCACACATTTGTGAAAAGGTTGAGAAACACTGGTTTAGAACAACCTTCTGCAAGCTGTTACATTGCATTATAATTGCAGGGGTGAAAGCAATAGTGGCGTAAGTCGAATTTTATTAAAATACTGACTTGCGTAGATATCATCAACACGTGTTTGTGATACAAATTAGAAGTCTAGTTGTACGGTTACGAGCATGGTAGAAAACAAGATTCAGAAATTTGAAAAATTTGAATTTTGGAATATAGAAATTGAGAATTTAGGAATTTGAAAATGTTGCAATTAGGAAACTTGAGAATTTAGAAATTAGGAAATTTAAGAATCAGGAAATTTTGGGAATTTGGAAATTTAGAAATTAGGAAAATTAGGAATGAGGAAAAATAGGAATTGGGAAATTTAGGAAAGAGAAAATGTAGGAATTAGGAAATTTAGAAATTAGGAAATTTAGGAATTAGGAAAATTAGGAATCAGGAAATTTTGGGAATTAGGAAATTTAGAAATTAGGAAAATTAGGAATTAGGAAAATTAGGAAATGTAGGAATTGGGAAAATTAGGAATGAGGAAATTTAGGGATTAGGAAATTTAGGAATTCGGAAATTTAGGAATTGGGAAATTTAGGAAAGTGAAAATGTAGGAATTAGGAAATGTAGGAATTAGAAAATTTAGGAATTAGGAAAATTAAGAATCAGGAAATTTTGGAAATTAGGAAATGTAGGAATTAGGAAATTTAGAAATTAGGAAAATTAGGAATTGGGAAAATTAGGAATGAGGAAATTTAGAATTTTGGAAATTTAGCAATTTCGGTATTTAAATTTAGGAATGCAGGAATGTGGATATTTGAGTTTTTGAAAGTTTAGACTTAAAGACATGGACATTTGATAGTTTAAGTATATAGTGATTTGAAAATCTCGAAATTAGCAAATTTTAATATTTTAATGTTCATAGAAGTAGGACTCGAAAGAATTGATAATAGAAGAAGAATCTTGGAATCAGAACCTGAATATGAAAATATGGACCAAAATAATTTAAATTAAGAACCAGAATAACTGACCAACTAACATATCCCTTTAATTTGCTTAATTTACAATTCAATAATCTTGAAAGTGAAGAAAAATCACTTGAGTATTATTTTACCCATTATTATTATTAGAGGTTTGATTAAACCTTAATTTTTTCAATTAGCACATTAAACGTTGTCAGATCACATCATCCAATACGACAATATACAAAACTTTGTCTAACAGTGCTTACCAGTATTTTTAAATCTTTCAAAATGTAAACCTTTAAATAACGAAAAATGATTTTGTTGCATTTTTAAAATAACTTCAAATTCAAAATTCTATTTCGACGATAAGGCACAGTTTCACTACCAGATTCTTCGTCCCTGTTCTTCCCACTGCAAGACCTTTATGGGAGCGTCGCAAAAGTGGAACAATCCCGACAGAAATAAAATCATGTACGAGTGGGACAACCGTGAAAGTTGCCCGCGATTTGCCTCTGCCGATGGTCGTTTATTCGCAACGGCAACGATATTCGGTTGTTCACGATGATCAAACCATAGTTATCGAAAGTGAAGGTGTACTTGGAGAATATGGCACAATTGGAAAGCTAGACTTCGGCTCGCTTCGTTGAACCATTGACAGACAACGCAATCCGATGGTGGCTGTTACTTTTGCACGTTTGCGTCTTTTTAGCGTTAAATGGAACGAACTGACCCGTGAAACTTTCCTTTTACCGAGACTGTTTCCTGGAAACCATTTTTGATCAATCGCCGAAGAACTTGGAACTTTACCAGTTCATCAAACGAGGATGTTAAAAATAGGTCGATTTTTACCCTCGATGTGAAAGCAAAAGTACAGATGGTTTTTTTTTAGATTACTATAGAATCACTCGTAATTAGATTGTGGGTTTAATAACGTATTTAGTTTATATATAAATTTAATAATAATTAAACTTAATTTTAATTTTTGATTTTATATTATTTTCATCTAATTATTTCTTTAATAATATTATATTAAATTATTACGTTTATTAATAAATTCTTGTTAACTCTTTGTGCTTCCAACGTGTCACCAAGCAACAGGTAGAGCAAAAGGTGCACGAGTGTTTCTGTAGAAATTATAGCACATGAGTTAACAAAAATACGGACGTAAATACTGTCAGCTCGTAAACTACTGTCTAGTGACGAATAACCGATGACATAGTAGGGAACCATGGTCCTACAGGATAACCCACTAAGAATTTATACTGACTACATTAACCCTCTCGTGGTGTGGTAAAATTAAGGATTCTGGACCAAAAAATATCTAGTTTATACTGAAATCAAAACTAACGTCCCTTCTTTCTTTAGTTAGAATAGTCTTAGAAAACAGTGGAAACAAAGAATCTTGGCATAGACTTAGATATCTTTGGTAGACTAAACAGTTTGTACGCCTTACTCTGTGACTGTCAAATAAACTTTCAATGGTAATATTATATTTTGCGTTGTGCTCAAACACAACACGAGAACATCTTACCACGGTTACTGACTTTGTATGTATAAGCTTTTCTATTTTCCAGGTACCGATTCTTGTTAACTCTTTGTGCTTGGAACGTGTCACCGAGCAACAAGTAGAGTAAAAGGTGCACGAGTAATTCTGTAGAAATGATAGCACAGCTAACAAAAATTTTATAAATGATGGTGAATGATACGTAATGTCTTAGTACGACGAGTCCAATAATTAAAATTGAGAGCAATTTTGTTAATATCTCTGCTTACTTTGAAGCTTTAAATTAATCAAAATTTAATAGCAAAATTAGCTATAATTTGAAGTCGATAGGTATCCAAATATTATAGAACTCCATTCCGACCACTCACTCACGTATAAAAATATACAGGCCAAACTGTGATACGACTTTTTGTCAGAGAATCAAACTTTCTTAAAATGGGCCAAAAGCACCAGAAGTTGTTAAAAGTGTCGAAAGTAACGAGGGGTCTGTGGACGGAGAGCAGCCCAGTTAACGAAACCGAGTCAAAATGTTATAGCTCTACATACCGTTGTCAACCCACGAGTTGGCGTGTGAAGAGGCTGACCCAGGTGTTTAGAACAGTTACGGCTCCGATTCGTCAGAATTGCAAAATGGACGTCTAGATTCGCACGTAGTTTCGACGGTATAAACAAATGGCTCGAGCAGTCACGCAACAATTAGGCGAAAAACAATGACAGTCGACAAACGTCTCAAGAGTGAGTAAGATAATGCGAATCGAGTGATGCAGTTGTTATTGTCATTATTATTCGTACCTGCGAAATGGAAGTGTTTACGGTGTATAGTCGGTGTAGCTTCCTGTACTTTGGATGGACCTCGTCACGCGCCAATTGCTGGGTTGACTACGGTACATGTGTCTTTTAAGTGCGAAATTGCATGTCTTATACCATTTCTTACTTTTTCTTCTGTCTAAAGGAAAACGGACTTGACCACGTGATTCTACGGTAAATAATCTACATATGAGAAATTATTTATAGTTTGGGTTCTACACCATGGGCCAAAGTAAAACTATTTTTAACATCCGTTAAAATATACTTCGAGTGTGGGGTCTTGTATTTTGGGTAGGTAAACCGTTTTGAAATAAGTAAGAAGTAGGTTGCTCTGTTGTCGAAAAAGAAGGAAGTTATATAAGAGATTTCTTCAAGGTCCTTCTGAAATTTTAGCCAAGAACAATCGATTCGTGTAGGATTCGCAGACAATTAACCCAACTTTTTTTCGGCGGGAGATTTGAGATCTCGAATTGCGTAATATCCGCCGTCCATTGTCTGACTCTCTGTAAACGACCAGATGAAAAGTGAACCAAGGTTAAGTCAAAGTTAACAACTACTGTAAGGTCAGTTAAGACTATCTTGCAAAGATCCTTTCAAAATTTTGATCACATATTGATTATGAAGTTAATTTCCTTTTTACAGTGATTTATTTTCTTCACTATTTCGTAAGTTAAGTGTTAAGTTTCCAAATTAGGAAATCACTAAATATACAAGTACCTAATTTTCCAATCTCGCAAGTTTTCAAAATTTTAAACTTTTAATAGAACTTAATTTATAATTCTTATGAAAATAATAGTAATGATTAAGCGAATAATACGTGCCTCTCTACAAAGAATGGATTTAAGCTACTTTCAAAATTAACAACTATATTTGTCATTAAATTTGAAATAGCCAAGTACACTTTG